GTTTGAATTGTCTACAAACCAGATGTAAAAATACTTGTATCTTAGGGCAGGTTTGAATGTTGTAATTACATAATAAGTAGTAATTTGGTTGCTTTCTTTTATCCCCTTAAAAGTTTGGATTCAGCAGTGATTTAAAAAAGGAACTAATAGCAGTGCCAGAACTTGGATGAGATTCAAAATTCATGCTGTGTCAAAGTAGCAAGTCTTGTCAAAATTATACACAGTATGATTACACACATAAGAAACATTAACGCAGCATATGGTGACACATCCCTGTAAGCCAGCAGTCTGGAGGTTGTGGTAAGAGGACTCGGCCAGCGTGATCTGCCAACAAAAACCCTGAACAATCCCAGGAAGCATATATGCCTGTTATAGTGCCGTTCCTCCCCATGCAAACATGAACACAAATTAGCTGGAGACCTTGCTAAGAGTTGATTGTGAGCCTAGCTGTGGTGCTCGCCTTTAATCCCACCACTCCGGAGACAGAAGCAAATCTCTGAATTCGAGCCCAGCCTGGTCTTTGGAGTTCATTACAGGATATCATGGATACACAGAAAAACCCTGTCTCAGGAAGAGAGAAAAAAGGAGTTAATTGTGATCCAGTCTAGAGTGGTGTCAGCTGTCTTCAAGCTCAAGAAAGACTCCTTGGTGATGCTAATGCTAGTGGTTCAGGATATTCATTATCAAGGTCACAATGGTGTGGATGCTACTACTGAAACTGGTCAGGGTACAGCTAAAGAAGCTGTGATCAGCATCCCTGTACATCATGTGTGTCTAGACCACCCACCTTACTTGTGCCAGCTATGACTGCCATCCCCTTCCTCCAGTCATACAATCTCAATCCCTAGCAATAGGATTTTCTTCACACCAACCCCCCAAAAGACTTTTTGTTCTATGTCATCATATCCTGGAGAAGCTCTTAGTGTTTAGTCTTGGATAGCCCCATTACAAATGAATCCTGAGACTTAGACAAATCATCTTGCAGATAGGTAGTTACACATTTGTTTGTTTCTTACCTGCCAAATTTCCCAGGTTTCATGAAGCTCAGAAAGTATGTTCATGAATCTACCTAAAAAAAGCAGGAAGTACTTTTAAGGGTAAGTACTTTTCCTCTAGGTTTAGAAAGATGGCTCAGTGGTTAAGAGCATTTATTCCTGTATAGGACTGGGGAGGGATTCTCAGCACCCACCTAGTGGCTCACAACCTCTGTACTTCCAGTTTCAATGGCCTCTTCTAATCTCCAAGAACATACACCAGTCACACACCAGACTACATTAGAGCAAAATGTTCATACACATATATAAATATAAACATAAATTTTTTTAAAAGTGCTTTTCCACAAAAATACCATGAATTTATATTTAAAATTATTTTGTAATTATAGGTATACATATCCATGGTGTATAAGATGATGCCTTAAAATATATTTTTGAAAGGTTCAATCAAGCCAACAAATGTATGCAGCTTTATTCTTGCTAACTAAAAACTAGAAATAATTAAAATGTCCACAAACAAGTGCATGGATAAACAAATCGTGATATATCTACACAATGAAATATGCCTCAACAACAAAGATGGAATTCATTAATGATATGATGAATCTCCAAAATACTATTCTGAACAAAGAAAGCAAGGACAAAGGAGTACATTCTCTGACCTTATATTTCTAAAACTCAAGGGAAAACAAAATGAGTATTTAGTGGCAGAGTGTGTCAGTGCTTGCCTGGAGTTGTGGTAGATTGGTTTGGAAGGATCACTGAGTTTTCAAACTGTTAGTGTTATATGAATATATAAAATTCTCAATTATACACTTAAAATCCTACAGCTTATTACTTATAAATTTCACTCTAGTAACATTGGTTTTTAAATATAAAAATTGTCATAGGGTAAGATTTCATAAATGTGGTTTATTAGTCATATCATTACTACTTCTTTTAAAGTTCCCAGCCAAGTAATGATAATTTATTACTTCACTCAATAAATACTGTTGGCCAGATACTGGGTGTTAAAGGAAGGTGACACAAGCAGCTGGCACCAGCCAAAAGGTGGCAGCACCCTTCGGTAATCGCTAATGTCAGGGTTGGGAGGGCCTCAGGAATAGCGGCTGGATCAGCATTGTCGCTCCATGCTGATGGATATATAAACTAGAACAATCTCTTTGAAAATGTTTTGGCAGCTGCTTATAAAGTAAAAGAAGTGTAGCTTTGGATTCATCAGCTCCACTACCAGGCCATAAGCGAGAGAAATGACTGCGCATGTCCACTACCAGGCCATAAGCGAGAGAAATGACTGCGCATGTCCACTACCAGGCCATAAGCGAGAGAAATGACTGCGCATGTCCACTGTAAGACACAAATGAATATGCTTTCATCAACTATATTCTTAGAACTGGAAACGACTAAATAGTCATCAAGATTAGAATGGGTAGTGGCTGGAGAGATGGCTCATCAGTTAGAGCACTGGCTAACAACGGTCGTAGGATAAAGGGACAAAGGAAAAACACCCTGATCCTGACTTGATCCCAAGCCCAAGACGAGGGCCAAGAAACAGAATCCCACCAATCCCTGAGCCCAAAACCCCACCAATCTCTGAACAGAAAAACCCACTGCAGAAGACAGTCTCTGCATCATTGCCTTCAGATCAAAATGTAGAATTGGCTCCTCCAGCACCATGTCTGCTTGCATGCTGACATGCCATAATAATGGACTAAACCTGTGAAACTGTAAGCCAGCTCCAATGAAATGTTTTCCTTTATAAGAGTTGCTTTGGTCATGGTGTCTTTTCATAGCACTAAAACCCTATAACAGAAGTTGGTACCAGCAGTGGGGACTGAATCTCACTGGCCAGACTTTAACATATATATGAGAACTCAAAGAATGCCTCCACAGTGACATACTTCCTCTAACAAGGCTACACATCCTCCAGTAAAGCTACACCTCCTAATAGTTCCACTTCCTGTGGGGCCAAACATTAAAACTACCACACTCGCCAGTCCCTGAGCTTGCCACAAAAACCCCCCAATCCCTGAGCACTTGACTGATCTTTACTACTCCTCTGGCAATGGACTGTCAGGAGCCATAATAGGACAAGTTAATAACTAGCAGGTGATCTTCTTGAGATGGTCTGCTTCAGATTATTATATAATCTGCAACAGATTCACAAGGCCATAAGAGATTTCATTTTAGGAAAGATTTCTGCTATTAATATGTTTTTCCTGTTATTATTAAACATATATAACAAAAACTAGGTATTAACCCACCTCTCTTTGGAGCAGATGTCTGCAGATCTACAAAGATGTACTGCCTTGTAGTGATGCTATATAGACAAATAGATGACTTCTTAAACCTTAATGATGATCCTATTAGAATTCATAAAATTATATCAGTGATTATTAAGCTCTTTTATAGTGGGACTGCTATTAAGTCCTTTTCTGATAGTCAAAACCACACTGAGAACTCTGCCAATCTCCCATGTGTCACCAGTTAATTGCTCTCAGATAGTAACCAGACTTTCTCCTACTCAGAGCACATTCCAAGAGTTTGTAAAACTATTAACCAAAAGTCATAAAAAGGGAACTAATGATTTATTATAGGTGCTAGGACAGAAGATAAAATATTGACTGGATTCATCTATACAAAACTTCACTAATAACTTAGTTATGGTTTTCAAGTTTCAATGAACCTGTGGAACTGTGACAGGTGATGGACATTTAGTCAGATAATTACTCCTAATAGATATACATGTAAACATTCTCTGTTGTAAACTTCTATTTCAATTTATGATTTTATGATTTGATTTTATGTGTGAACTTGTGATGGACTTTTTAACATGTGGTCATGTATTCTGAAAGATGTTTAAGTGCTGAGGACAAAGAGAAGAGTCAGAAGTGAGCTGAGAGGAACTGAGCTGTGAGAGGAACTGAGCTGAGGAGAAGTTTTTAGACAGAACACTTTTTAGACAGAACTGAACTCAAGAAGCCCTTAGAAGTGCAGGCACAGCATTGGGAGAAAAGGCACCGAGAGTTAGAGCATTATTGTGACCTCAGAGCAGGAGGAGAGCAAGATTAGAAGGAGAATGCAGAGTGGACTAACTTAGAAACTATAGTAACATAAAAACTAAGAGAGCAATGTGCAGAATGCAGAGGGAGAGGAAAAAGGAAGAAGCTGCAGAGAGAGAAGGAGCAGGCAGCTTCTCCTCACCATGGGACAGAACAGGTCCCGTCTTAATAACAAGGCAGGCTGAGTCTTATTAAAAGGAACAAAGCTTTCTTCTTACAAACGTGGGTTTAATTCATTTAGCATTAAAAGGGTAGAAGCTTCTTCTTTCTCTGTGCAATAAAGATTGGAGCTCATTTTTCATCCAGTGAGTGAGTTCTTTCTGCACTGGTGCTTGGTCTTTTGCTCCATATATGTATGTAAGTATGGGTGTGTGTGGAAGTATTTAATTGTGAGAATGTATGTGTGTGTGTGTGTGCGCGCACGTGTGTATGTAAGTATGTAAGTGTGAGTGAGCCCAACTGGTTTGAATGGAAATGCATAAATGCACATATGTGAATCTGTAAATGAAATTAGGTGAGTTCACACATATTTGCCTGTGTAAAAGTTTTTCCTGTGAGTGTTATTCTCTTCTCCTGGTTCAATAGAAGTTTCTTGCTCCAAACTTCTCCCTAGTCTAACAAGCAAGAGGCATCTGGACAAAAGGAAAAAGGCTCTAGCAATTAATCCTTTACTTAATCTCCTGAGGTTTTAGAAAGAGGTGCTAAGTGCCAGAGACTGCAGTTTCTGGCCTCAGAGGATCACAGAAGTCAGGTCAGCTACAGCAGCGTAGTAACTTAGACTCAGATAAGTAAACTTTTCATTATTACACAGCAACCCCAAATATCTCATAAGACAGTCTTACACACAAATCTCGGAAGACAAAGTCTTACCCTCTGCCAACTCTCTTCCCTCTCCACTGCCTCAAGAAGAAGAACCTACAAGAAAGAAGACCCCACCAGGGCTGGCCCCTGGCAATGGACAAAGAGACAACTTGTTGGTAGTGTTCTTCTTATATCAGTCAGCAATGGAGCAGATGGCAGTCCTTTATTCATCCAAGCTTGATGCTTGGCTTGGTGGCCAAAGCTGTTTTATGCCTTGGACTCATAAAAATCAAATCGAATCCAGGCAGCATTGCATGGGAGGAAGAACACAGAGACCTGTGTTCAGTCATGCCACCCAATGCGGGCAAGGAAAGATGCCCACAGACCTGCCCTCTGCTCCACAGCACAGGTGGGCTATAGACACCACAGAGTCCCTCCTACCACCACATAGCACAGTGAGGGAGGAGGAAGATAGAGACCTGAGGATCATCATGCTTCCCACAGACCTTCCCTTCTGTGCATGGCACAGGTAGACTGTAGACACCTGCTTGTACCATGCTGATCATGCAGTATGAATGGAAGATGTCACCCAGGAGTCTGCTAGACTTATAGCCAGCCTGCAGCAGTGAGCAGCCATAATATGCAAATATATGGTGGACAGATGGGAGAGAAAAAGAAATGGAGCAGCTTGAGCATTATAGAGAGAGACGGCACTGGACACTCAAGGGTGGAGAGAAGTAGCCTATTGTGAGTGGCCAGCCCCACCACTGAGGGTCATGGTGAGTTCCCAGCCCAAGCTGCCTCTGAGGGTCATGTCTGAGTTCATAGCTACACAGTGCCATGGGTTGGTGTCTGTGGCTCATGGTCTAACTAAAGAACATGGGGATGTCTGGGCAGCCACAAAGGACCTCATGAATGTCCAGGGCTGTGCTGAACTGACCCCATCCATCACTGGCTGTGGCACTCTGGAGAGCTGGCCCCAGATCTCACAAGCAGCAGCACTCTGGAATGTGCCTTGCCCAGGCAGCACAATGGAGCTGCCCCTTGTGGTGGGTGTGTGAAGGAGTTCACTCCAGGGCATGAGTGTGGGAGAGCTGACTCTGGCATTCAGGAAAGCTGCCCACGGGGTCATAAGCATGGTCACATGCAAGTGTGGTACTTAGGAGAGCAGGCCCTGCATCTTGCCTGGACAGCACAACAGAGCTGACCCTAGTGGTGGAGGTTCAGGTGAGCCAGCAGAAGGGCAAGAACAGAAAGGACCTGGCCCCACCACTCCTCTACCTTGATGTGAGCTGGGCAGGAAGAGATGTCCTCCAGTCCCTTGCTCCTCACCACCAGGAGCAGTCAGGAGAGCTGACCCTGGGGTCGTGAAAACACTGCTCTCTCCCTCTCTCCCTCCTCTCTTTCTGTTCAATGCTCCTTTCCTAATGAGGTCTTGGTATGAGGCCCTGGCTGTCCTTAAAACTCATGGCAATCCTCCTGCCTCTGCCTACCAAGTGTTGGGAATTACAGGTGTGTGCCATAATACATGGCAATAATAATTGGTTCGCCCATGTATCTTCTGTTTTAATGGTTTTTGTAATTTTTTGAAATAAGGTTTTGAATTCATAATTCTCTTGCCTCAGTATCCAATTGCTGAGGTCTACTTTAATAAGTATGAAAGCATAGCTTGGGATTATTCAGCAATGATGAAATAGTTCATAGAATGGTGAAGTAATAAAATATTTTACCACATGGGGAAAAAGTAGCTTATAGTTCAAATATAGCTTATATTGTAAAGGATTCAATTGAAATAATATGGTAATTGCTAGATAGAATGAGTTTTACAATCTATATCCTCAATTATATAATATGTATTATTAGCATATATTAATTATACATAATAATAGGCTTCACGGTAACATTTTTTGTTGATTGTACTATCACTACAGGAAACTATGAAAAAGATCACAAGAAACTAAGACCTCGGAATTATAGCCTTGAATGTAGACAAAGATGTACTCCATGTACTAACAAACTGAACATAGCAGCACATCAAACACATCATATGTCATGACAGTGTGGTTGTGCCACAGATGTGTGACTTAATATCTAAAATAGTATGTTGTGTCTATCATATATTTACTTTCAGATTTTCTGCTCTGTGTGTATGTACACATGCATACATATGCATGTATGTGCGTGTGTGCGTGTGTGCGTGTGTGCGTGTGTGTGCGTGTGTGTGCCTGTGTGTGTGCCTGTGTGTGTGTGTGTGTGTGTGTGTGTGTGTGTGTGTGTGTGTGTGTTGGGGTAAAAACACTTTACCTGGATTAAGTGGTACTACATTGTGAGTGTTATCTAGAGACTTACTGGGACTGGAGACATGGCTTCGTGTATAACAGCACAAGGTGCTTTTCCAGAAGACCTGTTTTTCATTCCAAGAACCCACATGGTAGCTCACAACTGTCTATAGCTCCAGTTCAAGAGGATCCAACACCTTCCTCTGGCCTCCTTTGCTACCAAGCTCACACATGATACATAGACATATATTCTGACAAACGTCCATACACAAAATAAAAATAAATATTTTTTAAATACTTAGTGGGTCAAGTCTATTAAATGTGCAGCTTTCTGTATTTCAAATTAAATTATAATTTCTGCAAAAATATATAATGCCATATTAATAAATATGGAAAATTATGGATCTGATAATCTAATCGGCAGGACAATAGCAATTTACTAAATCTATGATTAAGAACTAAGAAGAAAGCTGAGCAATGCCTTTAATCCCAGCACTCCAGAGGCAGAGGCAAGCAGATGTCTGTGAGTTCAAGGTCAGCCTGGTCTATAGAAAACTAGTTCCAGGACAGTCACAAAGAAACCCTACACAAAGAAACCCTGTGTCAAAAAATCAAAAACAAAACAAAACAAAACCCTAAGAAAAATAAGAATTAAAGACAATTTCCACACTCTAATGAAGAACATTTAGGGATCTACCCCTTTGTACCATAGCCAGAGTAATTCTACCCTGCAGCAAGCTGCACTGGGTCTGCATTCTAGACTGTATCATTATAAATACATTCTTCTACTGTCTGGAAGTATTTGCTGAAGCCAGGAAAATCCTTGATAAGAGCCATATAGGGGCTGTATGACCATGCAGCGGTGAGTCTGGTTTTGTTTGTGCTTTGTTATTTGAGTGTGTAGGCTCTTCTGAGAACACTAGGTGGGGATGTTAATAGGGTTTGTGTCCATCCCTTTACCAACTTAAAGCCATGGAGTAGCAGCCTGGTGGGTTGCGGAGGGTGATGGCAGCGTCCACACATGCACCTGTAAGTCACACAGCGCCCTAAAAACAACCAATAGTAAACTTTCTGTTTACCAAGCTGGATTTTTACATGACATTCTTTGGGCTATCAAGTAAAGAAGTTCAACAATACTGCAGGATATGAGATCAAGGTATAAATATGAATTATGTTTCCAAATGCTATCAATGAACACTTTTAAAAGTAACTTAAAGTATATTCTAAATATCCTCAAAAAGAAAGACAGAACAGACAGATTCCCCACTGGTTAAGAGTACTAGTGTTCTTCCAGAGGATTGGAGTTCAACTCCCAGCACCCATGACAGTCTACGCTGTCTGTAACTCCAGTTCCAGGGATCTGACACACTCTTCTGGCCTCCACTGCTACCAGGCACACATGTGGTACACAGACACACATGCAGGAAAATATCCACATAAAATAAAAATAAGTAAAATCTCAGAAATGAAAGGAAGGAAGAAGGAAGGAAGGAAGGAAGGAAGGAAGGAAGGAAGGAAGGAAGAAAGGAAGGAAGGAACCATTAAGGAAGATTTTAGATGTAAATTGTCAAGCTCTATACTGTCTGTGTTTGCAGAATTTTTAAAAGCTTGGACACAAGAAAGTGTTTGGGAACACAAGTCTTAATTAAATACCAATGAAAGTGTGTGTGTGTGTGTGTGTGTGTGTGTGTGCACGCGCGTGCGTGTGTTGCTCTTAAGAATCCAAGTACATCCAATAAAAAGGATGGCTGCCACCCTTTAACTTAAGGGGTGGGAATGGCCTGAGAGAGAGTCTGATGGATGAGCAATGCCTACTAAATGCTAACACGCTAAGAAAAGAAAGCAAGCAGTCTGAATACTGGGTCATCATCAGTCAGGAAAGACAGGGCATCTCCCAGGATCCAACCACAGGACCACCAGGAAATTGTGCTCTCACCTTGAGATCTGGATTCTGAACCATCACCTTGAACCGGAGATGTGATTGACAGGCAGGGCTTTGCACATATGCTTAACTCATTTGGCTAGGCTCCTGCCACTGGTGTCAGAGGCACATGAGCACCTATGGCACGTGCTTTGGGCTTGGTGATGAAATAGGCCACTGACAGATATTGAACCACTTAGAGTTGTGCATTTGCATACTTGTGTTTAAGCACGTTACTAGGTGATCAACTGCACTGACAGCTAAGGAACCACTTGCCCTCCAGGATAGGGTGCTCCTCTAAAAGCTTAGAGAGTCTTGGTTTACTTTCAAAGCTCTAGTGTTGAGAGAAGCAGGAGAGGAACCTGGAAGGCCCTTGTCCTCGTTGATGGAAGACATTGACTATGAAGTTCAGATTTTAGAAGGCTCAAAGCCCCCAAACTTGTGCACTTGCCTGTAGACTGCCTGCTTGGGCTTCAGGTGTGCCAATGGTGAGGACAACACAGATATTGAAGCCAAAAGAGAGGTAAGATCACTTAACCCCATTCCCAGTGCTTCATTTTCTACATACAGAAGCTCAGTTACTGAATGAAACTGTTTTGAAATGAGTTCATCATCATCACCTATACTGGTTAGTCCAATTCTGTCCTTTGGGTTCTTACAAAAGTCTCATGGTGGAGGCTTAATTGATTAGAGCATTGCCTATTGGTGATTGGCTTAACCTTTAGGGGATAGGACAGAAAGAGCCGTCTCTCTAATTCTATTTGATTTTTCAGGTAACAGCATCCATCTAAAGCTGTCTAGGGGCTGCCATTGCCTGCACTCATAAACCTGCCAAACTTGTTAGTTTACAGGAAAAGACAGCGACCTTCATACTGACATCTGAATTAAGGTCCAAAAATCTTTCATATTGAGTTCCATCCAAAGAGGCTTTTAGTTTTGCTCTATTTTAAAACTGACTTTAAATTTGATTCTAGAATCAGGCAATACTTTTATTTCCTAAATCAGAACAAATCTTCCCCACAGAGTCTTTCTTTCTTTCTTTCTTTCTGTCTGTCTGCCTGTCTGTCTGTCTTTTTTCTTAACTTT